ATAAACATATGGAATAACCAACATACAGATATGGAATTGTGTGTGTAAATTGGAAAATCTACATATAAATAATTAGTATATAGAGCAGAAAAAGCATATTTACATAATATTTACACTGAGCTACATAAAAAAAAAGAAAATGCAAGCCTTCAAAAACCTGAGAAGCATTCAGTGCTATTAAACGGTGGATAGAGAGAGAAATATAGAAAGGGATAGTGTTTTAGGGGCAGGAGTTAACGATCGTATTTTGAATTTTACATGCAACATGAAAGTACAAAGCACGCGGAAATGAAATTGGGCACAAGGCTACGGTAGAGGAAACACTTTAAAACACTATTCAACACTGCACACTACTCATAACACTCATCAGACGGGGATCAGTGGATATCCAGTGCACGTGAATACTGAATATTCAATTAACTTTAAGCTTTTTCTCCTGCATTTCAATGGAATACGAAAATATGTGAAATCTGCTGCTTTTCTGGTCTTGACTTTCTTTTTGCTTTTGTCTAAATAAAACGAAACACAAAATAAACTATGAATTCAAGCCGAATTTAAACTACAAACAAAAATGATCACCCAGTGGTCAATGGCATACTATTAGGTTTATAAGTCTAAATGGAATTTAAAACTATGAATAAACGTGATTTTGAATGTATACATACTACTCCAAAACAACCAAAAGAATCAAATGAGTTTTCCTTCTCTTTGTGGATTTGGTTTTAGGTTCGCTAAATCGCAATCTGTGCTTTTTGATCTGTCGAGCACATTTCGAGCCACCGGATGCACATTTCCAGGCGGAAGCCAGCCGCCATGAAATATTCACAAGAAGCAGGCAGCACCAGTTGAATAAATCATGACTCGATTCGTGGTCACAAATAAATCCATTCGATCAACAATTAAATTACAATGGTGATGTTTGTTTGTTTGTTTTGTTTTCCTTGTGTTGAATGGAATTATTATAAAATTGCAGCTCTGTGCAGTTTGTGGGACTAACAAGGGAAAGTTTATTCCGTTAACAGTCCCTGGGTGATTCTAGAATTCCCTTTCCTATCTAAGAAACTCTTTTGCTTCACCGTTTACTTACCGTCTCCCTGCTCGCAACCCTGTGGCTTGAAGTGCAACCCTGTTTATGCCAATGTTGTTGCATGTCGTCATTCTTAAACGTTTAGCAAGTGCACCCACTGAAAACGAAAAGGAAACAATTTGTTCAACCATCATAATAGTCACTACGGTCGTAGGTCGCAGGTAGGTCAAATGCACGCTTAAACCCCACTGCACACACGAGGGCTCAGTGTCATCCGTGGCCCATCAATGGATTAAAGTTCATTCAGGAAGAACTACAAATTAAAACGCGACTTTGCACATCATAATCCTGCATCCTTCCTCGTTCCTTGCCCTCTTGTGTGACGTGGCATGTTGGAGTGCGTCGTATAAAAGGATGTCAAACACTCCTCTGCATGATCTGTCGATGTGTCTTTTGGGTGCGTGGGGGTCATACTCATATGACAGACTCTCGAAACTTGTTCTATTCGTGTTTGTTGCTGCTCTTGTTGTGGCAGAATGTCAGCTTAATCGGCTTAGCGGCAACACAAACACACACGCGCACACTGTGCAACGCACACACACACAAACACAAACACTGCCGCCTCTCGACGCCATAGGCGATTGTGCGGTTCAGTCGAACACATCTGTATATGCTGCGTGTGTGTGTGTATGCGGGTGAATACACTAAAAGTGTCGCCTGGAGTGCCTTGCACCCACATAGTACCATACGCCACAGACGTCGTCGCCTATCTGGGGGCCGAAAGTAGGGAGATAGCATAGAGCTTAACTAATAAACATAATTGCATATTCAGTAGCGCTTAAAAGTGCGTTCCGAAAGAGAACTCCGAAAGTGGATCGTAAGCGCAAGCTTTACGCCGAGCTTACGAAAGAGAGTCGCTGCAGTGTTAGCACATGCAAGCGAGAGCGTGCGCTTATCTTAAAAAAGAGAGTAAGGTATCGAGATCATAGAATTTGCACTTGACGTTTGACCGAAATTCCACTCAAGTCAGCAACATGAAGAAACTATAAGGAGGCCTCGTCGGTGGCAGAGTTACTCGCTGCCTTTTCTTGCAATCAATGCTCGTTTGCTTGTTGACGCGGAAGGTTGGTTGCGAACAACATTTTTTTTCAAATTTTTTCAAAAGGTTTTTTTTTTTTCAAAACACAGACTACTATCATGAAGCAAACTATTAAAAATGAAATTATGTAAAAATTATTATGTTTTTTCACATTGCCTTAAAATGGTTAATCAGCACACTCCATTGTCGTTGCCCTCGCACTTACAGCGAGAGCCCTTTCACTCGCACTTTTCACTCGCCCGAATTTCTTAGTATTTCCGACGAGACCTCCTTATAGTTTCTTCATGGTCAGCGAAAGATCACGCGATTGTGCCGTTAAAGTTCCCAAACGTCATCAGATCTTCGAGCTTTATGTTCGGTACAGCCTAGCTTCACTAGGATGAGTTTTGCTGGAGTTATAAGCAAAGAGACGATCGATAAAACCAGACGTGATTTTGGCAAGTTTTATATATGTAGATATAACCTACACTAAACTTACATAATCCCTCGTTGCGAAGTTTTCTTGCAAGCCATAAATGCAGAGGAATCTGTGTTGATCTGTGCTAGTGCCTAGTGAAAACCATAATCAACCAAGGTATGTCTGCCGTGAGCTAGGAAAGTGACCAGTGTAATTTATGTGAATCAAGTTTATAGGACAGAGGTCAGGAGCCCGTTTCGTCGTTGCAGCCTAAGTGCGTATAAGTACATAGACGGGGTACTCCACGAGAGGCGTATCACCTAAGTGATGCCCCCAGGCGTCGCTACCCTTAGGAAGCCCAGTGCATAAGGGGGCGCCTCGGAACCTTAAATCAGCTCCAGTGAGAAGACCAGTTTGTCGCGCACTTTAGTGCTTATGTAAGCGGAAGATCGACATCAAGGATGTTCCACATTTTAGCCCAGTGTTCAGTGCTAGAACATTGGTACGTGATTTTGACGGACCTGACTACAGAGGAGCCACCGCCGACAGCAGGACAGATGTCCAGAGTTACGCCGTGTTAATTTACTCCTTTTCTAGGATTAAGTTAAGTCTATTCTCCTGCGGTTCTAAAGTTAGATTCAAACATCAAGAATCACAGGTGTTGGCGGAAATGAGTGGGTATGAGATCTTAAAACTATTAATTGAGATAACTAAGTCGTACTTGCACGTACGCTCGTGTGCATATATTGCTAATAACTTCTAGTTTTCCCCAGGAACAGACATCTACGTCATCCTTGAGCTCTTCCAACAAACTGAAAAGATGTTATATATAATAGCAGGGCTCATTGGAAAACTGCTATTTCTGTTAATTGAATATTAATTATACAATTTACTTTTTGTTTAAACAAACAGATTGTAAATATAAAGAGAGATAAAAAAAAAAACCTTGAGCTCAACGATCACGAAAGGAGTAAATGTTTTTAAAACACCAAAACAGAAACGCTGTGAGTTTGTAATCTTAAAACCGTATATGCACAGAGCACAAACGTAACCTACGAGTTAGCAATTGTATGTTTGAACCTTTATAATCATAGCCGTAATGGGTTAATACCTCTCGCCCCCCATTATTCTGTTATCTACCTATGATTTTTAGTCTTTATACACGCAACAGCCACTATATATATATGTATATATATATATATATAAATTCGTAAATTCCTAAACCATTATAACATAGAATAAGCATATATTTTAAGTGGGCTAGATTGCCGTAATATGAATTCCTCTGTAGGTTAAGAAAATTTCGAAGAGATTTAATTATAATAATAGGAAGTCATGGAAATAAATCTGAAAGCCTTCGTTTTGAAACAAATTTATAATATGTTCTAAATTCTAGCGTCCGTCCTCAGACAAGCAAGGTCGAAGTGGTAGGATGAAAACTGCTTGATTGTTCCAGGGTCTATACGGTTCGATTTACCAGTATAGCATAGGTTGGGAGGGTAGAGAAGAGGGATTCTCGACGACACCTGAGTCTCCCGTGGTTTAAATAGAGTAGATTTCTTGATATCATCATCACCCTTTTTCCTCAACAACAAATTAGTAATCCACTTTCCAGACACTCAGTCCAGTTTAACCTGTGTTCTGCTTTTGATTTTTGATTCTTTTTAAGTGTGCACCTAAAACATTATGCGAGTGTGTGTCAGTACATAATATAGGAGAGAGTAGAACGAACCCCGAGAGGTGACACACGAAATCTCTTTGTACCAGTTTGGGTAAAAATTCAGCTATCCCACACCTGCCCGCTACACGGTGTAATTTCTTGACATTTGTTTAGCTTCAGTGACATAAACGCTACAGGCACTTCATCGTTAGCTTCATTGTTCTGCATCAAAACGGCTCCATTTCTGCTTTAAAGTATCAGTTAATGGTTTCGCTAGTGCAGCATAGTTTCGGATAAACTTATGATACCTCCCCGTTAAGCCTAGGAACCGACGAACTTGCTTAATTGAACGAGGCACTGGAAATTCGGTAATGGCGGTAATTTTCTCTGGATCGGTACTAATGATACCGTTTCCAATTATATGACCCAAATACTTGACCTCTTTCCCACAATAATGACTCTTTTCCATATTTATAGTCAAATTTGCTATTTTCAATTGGTTAGCTACAGTCCCCAATATCTCAATATGCCTTTCAAATGTATCAGACACGATCAAGAGGTCATCTAGGTAGATAAAAACTTCATAGCGCAGGTTTGCTGAAATAATCTTATCCATGAGCCTTGACATGGTATAAGGTGAGTTAGTTAAACCAAACGGCATCATTGTAAACTGGTAAAGGGGTCTTCCAGGAACAGTAAAGGCCGTTTTGTCGCGAGATTTCATATCGAGAGGAATTTGCCAGAATGCGTCTTTAAGATCTAAACTCGGAATGAACTCGGCTTTGGGTAATCTTGCCAGAATGCCATCAATAGGGGGCATGGAATATGCATATTTTTCTGTTAGGTCGTTAACTTTCCTGCTATCTATACACAATCTTACTTTGCCAGGTTTGCGCGTTATTAATGTAGTGCGTTCCAAGCCCTTTATAGCGAAGGATGCTGTTAGAAAAAACTAGGAAAACTAGAAAACTAGAACTAGGAAAAACGTTATCTTCCTGACTTCGCCTCTATAGGCAACCTCGGTAGTCAGACGACCAACTATGCCTTGCGATTTACCATCGGCAGTTTTCACTGAGGCCGATAACCGCTTAAACGAAGTTGTCTCTATTATTTCTTTAGCAAGCTGTTCGCCCATGCAACACACAGAGGCTCCAGTATCCAATAAGCCTACTACGGTTTTACCTAGTAAGGTAACATGAGCGTACGGGCGTAAGTCATGAAGTTTCCCAATTACAATCTCTAAAATCATCTTGCGTTCTGCCCTATTTTGACGATTAAAGGCTACTCTACGTAATCGAGAACGAGCTACCCTTTTGGTAGGGATGATAATGGTAGGGATGGTCAATGATATTATCTAAATCCGGGTGGTGTGACCTGGCTGGTATTCGTTGATGTAAAAACTTTTGAAAATCCTCTAATCGGTATTCGTCCTCTTCGAGCCTAACTGTTTGCAGCTAAGTTTTTTGTAATATTTGAGCAGTAACGACAACAGTTAGGCCTGTAAGTATCGGCTTTTCCGCAACCAAAGCAGAAGACTCGTCGTTCTGCTCAACAATCCTGGTAACGGTGTCCCTTCGCCTCACAATTCCAACCAGTAGCGTCAATGGCAGCTACCTCTAAGTCTTCATTATCTGAAATTTTGGATTCAGAAACGAAGTTTGTTTGAATTAACGCACTAAAATTCCGATATTTTGGCTTCTGTATGGCGGCTGAAGGTTTGTAGACCGATTGAATGAAAATTTTGCGAGTTTGCACAAGGTGTCGCAATTGGCCAATGGTGGCTGCTGGCTCATATAAAATCTCTTGCTGAACCTCAGTAAGGAGATTTGCTCGCAGAGTCTCTAATAAGGATGCTCAGACATAGGCTGTGCGAGCTTATCTGCCAAGGATGCGATCACGCTGTAGAAATCATCGAACGATTCGTTTGAGTGCTGTTTGCCACCTTATATCTCCGTGCGGATTATGCGATCAGTGCGAGAACTTTAAATTGCCCTTTTAAAGCAACACATAACTCGTAACAACGAATCTGAGATACTCTTGAGTTGAGGCACGTTCGGTGTTAAAATTTGATACTAATGTCTATCCCGTTCCTACCTCTAAAGCCTGTTTGCGCACTGGACAAAATTTTCTTGGCCCGTTGGCTGAATTAAAGCAGTCTGGGTGGAAGGTGTGACCGCATCTCGTCACCAATGTTAAACTTTATTTACAATGTTTTTCGTACACAAATAACAAAGTGTCTCAGTCTTTTAGATTAGGGAATTTTCCTGGACTTCGTTTACAAGGCAGCTCTCTCGATCCGAGTAATTAAATTAATAAAAATATTTTTTGTTTAATACTGAGATTTGTCAGAAATAAAAAAAAAAAAAAACGAGGAAATGACGGGACGTGTGAGACGCTTCTTACGCGTCACAACTTTTATACCCCGCACTCAGTACTACATTTGCACCTTAGCGGTTATCTGTCAAATTTTACATTTTTTCTTCATCTGTCATTTGCATCAACAACACTGCTCACGCCAAGACGCAGACGTGTCTGCGCGAAGCATAGTGTGAATGAGAGAATGTGAAAAAAAACAAAAGCTGCGGGACAGGATGCGTTTAGCAACTGCAAATGAATTTCTTCATTCTGGCTATAATAATGATCCAATCGGATCCCATTTTGGTGATCTGATAGATATGACCATTCCCTGCGGAATGTTTTTAGTTTTCTTTTATCTTCAAAATTGCAGATTTGGGAGGTTGTCGCCCTTTTTCGGAATACTTTTTTGAAATACACTTGTAACAGTGTGAGCATACAGAAGTCTGGATGCAAAATTTGGTGGCTCTAGCTTTGATGGTCTCTGAGATCCAGGCGCTCAACAAGAAGGACGGACGGACGGACAGACAGACATGGCTCAATCGACTTAGATATTGATGCTGATCAAGAATATATATACTTTATGGGGTTGGAAACGTTTCCTTCTGTGCGTTACATACCGTTATTCCCCACAAATACAATATACCCTATTTACTCTTCGATTACCGGGTATAAACAGACACTAGAAATCTAAACAGAACAGCTAATTATCTGTAGTCCGTAATATCTGNGTGTGGGAAGGGCGGCGAGCTAAAGGACAGATGAAGAAAATATTTAAAATTTGACAAAACACCGCTAAGGTGCAGATGTAGTACTGAGTGCCGGGTGTAAAAGTTGTGACGCGTAAGAAGCGTCTCACACGTCCCTTCTCCTTTTCCTTCTCCTTTTTTTTTTACGCGCGAAACCCAGCAGAACTAACTACGGGAGGGGTAGGCTAGTATAAGAGATTTAAGAAGAGGAAGGAAGTTAGTGAGGATATAATGTGATAGAGGGAATTATAATCCGAGCACAAAACCCTAAAGGTTTCGTGCAAGGCATAATTCGATCTGCACAGTGGAAGGAACAAAGGAATATAGTTTCTAGTGGGTCTAATGGGAATCGTGAAGTTTACGCGGCTCAACAAGTCAGGGCTGTCTACATCCCCCTTGATCAACTTGTGCATAAAAATTACACCAAGCATTTTTCTACGACTAACTAAGGATGGAAGATTTATTAAAAAAAGTCTACTACGGTAGGATGGCAGTCTCACAGTTGCATCCCAGTTGAGGCCCCGTAGGGCAAATAATAAAAAGTTTTTCTGTACTGATTCAATACACCATACATGAGCCGTATTCTAAAATCGGACTAACAAGCGAGATATAGAGAGTCTTCGTTATATAGGGGTCATCAAATTCCTTTGACCACCTCTTTTTAAACCCAAGCACACCCTGGGTTTATTTACCATGGTAGAAATGTGTTCAGAAAACTTTAACTTGGGGTCTAGTTTAACACCTAGATCATCAACCAATATAATGCTCTCAAGATGTAACGGACACTGGAAGTGTCGTCTCGTCAGAACTCTCTGTCTACTAAAGGTTGGCCGGCTAGGCTCAGGGAAAATGTGGTGGGTGTTGTGCTGCGAAAACGAACTCCGTCACCTAACAAAATCGTAGACAGATTTACGGGAACTGGGATCGGATTTACAAACCCGGACGGAACTTTAGGTCCACTACCTACTGTGAAGAGCAAGGTGGTTGTGCTCTTACCTCTTGACCCACCCTCCATGTAGAATAACATAAGAATATGCCATTATGGTTCTACGCTAAACCTGCCGCTGCTGCCTATGTGCCTTAGGAACCCCTCCCAAAAATCAGATTAGAAAATCATGTTAAATCGTTATAATTTTACTTTGACTTGTATGACTTCAGGTTGTTTGTAACCCCCATTATTTCTACCCTAAAAACTATTTTTACTGCATGTGTATATATATGTGGGACTAATTTAATACATAGGAATTCAAGAGAATGATCAAATATGAATAAAAATAATATAATCAAAATATAAAGTAAGAATTAATTAATTAAATGAATTAAATGGCATAATTGTAGTGATTGTAGTTAATAATAATTCATTTTATATATGGTTAAGCATGCATGTCTCACTGTGTAGACGCTATTCTCCTGACCCGGAGTGTATGTGTATANCAGGTTGTTTGTAACCCCCATTATTTCTACCCTAACCCTTAAAACTATTTTTACTGCATGTGTATATATATGTGGGACTAATTTAATACATAGGAATTCAAGAGAATGATCAAATATGAATAAAAATAATATAATCAAAATATAAAGTAAGAATTAATTAATTAAATGAATTAAATGGCATAATTGTAGTGATTGTAGTTAATAATAATTCATTTTATATATGGTTAAGCATGCATGTCTCACTGTGTAGACGCTATTCTCCTGACCCGGAGTGTATGTGTATATATGTGTGTCTACTTACAGACTTTTAAACAGCTGCTGGTGTCGTTGGGCACAATTTCACGTTCTCAATAAAAACTGTTAAAGAAATGTAGAAATATGCAAAATAACAAGAAGCGTTATGAAGAGGTATTTAACCAATACCCTTCCATGGACACAATGAGACCGATGATGCACCCTTTTAGAATCTATTATTAACTAGGCATAAATTTCATGTTTTTCTTCTTCTATTTCTAAGTTAATGTCTAGGAATATTTAATATTATTGAACAATTTTCTTTTCTATTTTTATCTTCAATCCATAATTTTTCATTAAATTTTCTCTTCTAGATTTTTGCGATTTACTTTTCTTCCCTTAAGTGGCTTTTAGAATGTCGGCATCGAACAATTTTAATAACCTGAGAGAAGGAGAGAATAGGTGACATACGGTCAGGTGGGTCTATTTAAGTGCGCGTTGGTGTATGGTCAGCCGCAAGGGCAATGACCGCTGAGCTAATTTTTCCACACCCTACATATGCAAGCACCAACATTTTCTTTACACAAGGCGCGGTGATATAATATTTTAGAATNGGCAATGACCGCTGAGCTAATTTTTCCACACCCTACATATGCAAGCACCAACATTTTCTTTACACAAGGCGCGGTGATATAATATTTTAGATTGATTGATATTATCGTTGTTGTTGAGCGGCTTAGTTGCTCGTGAGATATATGTATATAAACAACTCGGTCCCGATCGCCAAGTCGCCATCCGTTTCTCGGCCTGCAGGCAAGGTCCGGTGGCACCAAAAAGAAGGACTGATCATCGTGGTACTGGAGCGGACCGCCCTCCGAGACCGAGGGTCATGCCAGGTCAGCAATTTCCTGCCACACGTGGATCATAACCTACGTGCAGTACATACATGGAATTATGTAATAAGGTCACTTTTTCATTTTTTTATCTTTGCGTACCTTATCCAGGGGTTGGTTTTTAAGTTTTTGTCTTTGCAGCCACAACACTTTTAAAATTGTTTTTATTTGGTTTATGTTCCCTTTTATGGTTTTGCAAAATTTTCACCACGTTATGTATACTACGTTTATGTATATTTTCTACACGCACATTAATTAAGTCTTCCAACTTTGAATGCAATTTTTGTTCTGTGCAGCATGCACTTAGCCTAACTATTTTACCCCTCCAAAAGCTGTGTATAAGAGAGCTAAGAAGGTTCTCGAAGGGCTAGCCGTAAGCTATGCTTGCGGAGAGAAAAGCTCACATGTGAACGGCGCTCGCACGTGAAATTTCGAAAGAAAGAGCTTTTCAAGATAAAAGCTTCTGATCTTGCATGTGGGCTCTCGCTGGAATGCGTACAGTGGGGGAGGTTCAATATTTTCTCGATAAAATTAGAATACAGCTCCCAAAAAAAAGTTTGTCTTAATACAATTTTTGTACAGACATTCTAACTTTTTGTTTTTGGTCTGCAACCTTCACAAAGAGAACTACCGCAGAGGGTGTAAGGAGTCAGGAAGGGGCTGGAGCGATAAAAAGCCATTACATTGCATTTCGAGGCATTAAGTTGAAATGTGAAATGTCCTTATAATGGACACAGAGTTTAACATCATCCGCATACATAAGTACTCGAGAATTTGTTAATACAGAAGGCAGGTCATTATTCGGGCTTGGCGTCTGTTTGGAACGTGTACCGTAGCGGCAAAGTCTTCGAAAATGGAGTCGAAACGGCCCTGATCCGTGGCATCGATATTTACTACTCGTGTCCGGAGTGGAAGCTGCTGTGGGATGGTCTGCAACTGCATAAAGAATGCTGTGGAGTTCACAGCTACAAGGATTCGATGAATGCCGACTGGATGCCCCAGCTGGTGGATAACGATAACTGCTCGATAGCAAGTGGTTCCAACGGGATCCTGGCACCCTACAAATGCTGCAAGCGAGGCTGTGAGAGTAGCACGAACCCAGATATGCCCGGTGGTGAACAGCAGCCGTTCCTTTCCTTCTCGCTCGATTCCATCCACACCAACGGCTGCCTGCCCGTGTTTTGCAAAGCCCTGTGGCGGCTCTTGTACACTCAGCTGGGACTGGCTCTGCTGTCCCTTACATTTCTGGTAAGTCACTATGGCATTATGTTGAAAGTATGTTTTCATTATAGTCTTTACCTTTTCGTACAGATCATTCTCTGCTTTCTAACCAAATTCATAATGCAGCGTCAGAACGAGGGCGATGGCAGCTGGGACAACTTGGGTCTCACAGATGNACTCTGCTTCTGCTTCACTCGGCCCCTGCCTCTGCCGTCGCCCTGCCTCTGCCGACTTTTAACCCACCCCGTCCCGCAGTTTATATTTGTTTTTTTTTGTGTGCGGGCGCTGCCTCTGCCTCCTCCTCGAGTCTGCAGTGTGTGGGTGTGGGAAGGGCGGCGAGCTAAAGGACAGATGAAGAAAATATTTAAAATTTGACAAAACACCGCTAAGGTGCAGATGTAGTACTGAGTGCCGGGTGTAAAAGTTGTGACGCGTAAGAAGCGTCTCACACGTCCCTTCTCCTTTTCCTTCTCCTTTTTTGTTACGCGCGAAACCCAGCAGAACTAACTACGGGAGGGGTAGGCTAGTATAAGAGATTTAAGAAGAGGAAGGAAGTTAGTGAGGATATAATGTGATAGAGGGAATTATAATCCGAGCACAAAACCCTAAAGGTTTCGTGCAAGGCATAATTCGATCTGCACAGTGGAAGGAACAAAGGAATATAGTTTCTAGTGGGTCTAATGGGAATCGTGAAGTTTACGCGGCTCAACAAGTCAGGGCTGTCTACATCCCCCTTGATCAACTTGTGCATAAAAATTACACCAAGCATTTTTCTACGACTAACTAAGGATGGAAGATTTATTAAAAAAAGTCTACTACGGTAGGATGGCAGTCTCACAGTTGCATCACAGTTGAGGCCCCGTAGGGCAAATAATAAAAAGTTTTTCTGTACTGATTCACTGATATACTGATACTAACAAGCGAGATATAGAGAGTCTTCGTTATATAGGGGTCATCAAATTCCTTTGACCACCTCTTTTTAAACCCAAGCACACCCATGGCTTTATTTACCATGGTAGAAATGTGTTCAGAAAACTTTAACTTGGGGTCTAGTTTAACACCTAGATCATCAACCAATGTAATGCTCTTAAGAGAACTACCGCAGAGGATGTAAGGAGTCAGGAAGGGGCTGGAGCGATAACAAGTCATTACATTGCTTTTCGAGGCATTAAGTTGAAATGTGAAATGTCCTTATAATGGACACAGAGTTTAACATCATCCGCATACATAAGTACTCGAGAATTTTTTAATACAGAAGGCAGGTCATTAATAAAGAGTGTGAAAAGTAAGGGGCCTAAATGGCTACCCTGTGGTACTCCAGAGCGAATAATTTACTTCGCTGTCTGCTACTACAATTCTTGTATTATTATCAACTAAAATATTCAAATATTCAACTCAAAATGAAACGAAATTAAAGATAGCGCTGCAGCTGCCCCAAAAGACACACTAGATACAATTGACGAAAAATCCATTTACTTTAATTGATGGCTTGGTTAAAGCAACTTGATCTGCACCGTGTCCGTGTGCATATTACATATTGCATATAACCACGCAATTCTCACTGACTATTTGTCAGAGATTGAGTGTCGCTCGGTCCACGGTTACTTGCTGAATATCTACATATTTGGAGCACAGCTGATTCTGACATTCCTGTGCAGTCTGTCCATGTGGAAGCGCTTGTGGAAGCGGCGTTGCACGCCCAACATTCAATTACTTCTATCCATTTGGCTATTCTATTCCTGCATCATCGTTGCCTCGGGCTTGACGTCGAAAATGGAGTCGAAACGGCCCTGATCCGTGGCATCGATATTTACTACTCGTGTCCGGAGTGGAAGCTGCTGTGGGATGGTCTGCAACTGCATAAAGAATGCTGTGGAGTTCACAGCTACAAGGATTGGATGAATGCCGACTGGATGCCCCAGCTGGTGGATAACGATAACTGCTCGATAGCAAGTGGTTCCAACGGGATCCTGGCACCCTACAAATGCTGCAAGCGAGGCTGTGAGAGTAGCACGAACCCAGATATGCCCGGTGGTGAACAGCATCCGTTCCTTTCCTTCTCGCTCGATTCCATCCACACCAACGGCTCTTGTACACTCAGCTGGGACTGGCTCTGCTGTCCCTTACATTTCTGGTAAGTCACTATGGCATTATGTTGAAAGTATGTTTTCATTATAGTCTTTACCTTTTCGTACAGATCATTCTCTGCTTTCTAACCAAATTCATAATGCAGCGTCAGAACGAGGGCGATGGCAGCTGGGACAACTTGGGTCTCACAGATGATGACGGTTATCCTCTGGTCGTTGTGGTGGGTGTGCCTACATGTGTAGCTTTTTGTGTTGTATTTTATAAAAATGTGTCCCGACCATAGAAATACCCCTCCAATTTGCATTGCCTGGTGATTGGTGATGAGGATCTGGCTTCCGATATGGCACCCGATGCTCACTATTGCAATTGCGAAGACTCAGCGGAGGATGATTGTGAACATTAGGTTGATGTTTTCGTTTTGTTCTTATATTTTATAGTTTTTTGTTTATTTATTATATTAAAATATTAGTTGCATCTTGATTTCATTTAAACTTTCTTATAGTCAAGTGGCCCTGCTTTTCATTTATCTTAAATATTAATTCCATAAGAAAATTACAACTGATGACATATCCACGATAATATTTGGTTCCCGAAACTGCAGTTGATTTGATTTAAACTTATCTAAACCCAATCATTACCAGTTTCAGTTTCAGCAATGAACAAAGTAACCTTTTTTGAATACTTTACCAACACTTCCATTTTATGGTCACACAGAATCCTTTTCACTTTTTGTCATAGAACTTTGAGTTTTTGACTTGTTAAAACCAGAAAGACTGAATAATTGTTTTAAAATGTGAGTACAAATAATAAAAACACGAAAATTTATAAATAATTCCAAATTTGTTCATTGCAGGCAATCACCGCATACTGATGACGAGGAGAGGTCTGTCTCCTTTTTGGTTTTTTATGAAATTTTCGATTCTTACATTTACTTCTTTTGTACAGCTCCGATGAGGATGCATCTCTCACCGCTCCTACTGCCGATGCTGTTATCCAAATCGATTCATCTAGTAGCAGCGACGACTCATCCAGCGACGACTCTTCCAGCGACGAATCATCCAGCGAAGACTCATCCAGCGAAGACTCATCCAGCGACGACTCATCCAGCGACGACTCATCCAGCGACGACTCATCCAGCGACGACTCATCCAGCGACGACTCATCCAGCGACGAGTTATCTGGCAACGATTCACCATGTCCCGAGTAAGTAATGTACGAGACTGTTAATGTATTAAATAAATAAATACTTTTACAAATACCTAGGACTAGCGGTTTGGCTGATAGTCCAACTCATATAGAAGATGAAATTTGGTGAGTTAAACCATTGAAAGTGAAGAAATATTGCTTTATATTGACTGACAATTAGGAATTCGGAGCCGACTAATGCGCCGCAAGTGGAGGTAGATGCTTCCAATCTCGTGTTGAACCCGTCTTTCCACATGCAGGGCGTTCCAATGAATGGCGACATGGCTGGCCCAAGCTTAAATCCATTCATAGGAGACGAATTTCACGATGGTTCCACCACGGACAATTTCGAGGATGTGTGTGTTCCAGACAACAGCGAGGATGTGGCTGTTGCTGGTCCAGGCATACAGATGAACGAAAACCCACAGACAAGCTCTTCACAAATATCGAACACATCCCATTTTATAATTAATTTGCCGCCAACTCGTCGTCGACGCACCGCACCGGCCTACTTCGATGATCCGGAATCAATTGGAGCGCGTGTGGTCAAGCGTAGTAGAGGCAACACTGCCCCTATTGAATTAGCTACACCCTTAGACGTAACAAACTACTTTCAGGAGGTGTCTGCCCGATTGGTGACCGAGCGCGTGAGCCAGCAGGCCTTTCTGCAGCTTTCCAAAACCTCTAATCTCGCAGTGCAAAAAGCCATAGCTAGCTCCAAAAGAGCCTTGGGGGAGGCCCCTAAGTAGGGCTTTCACATTGAGAAGATAATTATTGATTTAATAATAAACAATACAACATTGTGCGTACGCCTCAATACTTCGGCAAGCGCATGGACGCGTGTATGTACATAAATAATTCCTTAGGCTTAATTGAGGCAGTGCTGGGCAAGATCCTTGTTGTCTGCACGCAAGCGCATAGACGTGTAAAGCTGACGGTAATAATTGTATAAATGTGTATCTGGTGTAACCACGCCTCACAATTTCTGTACATAATGTATGGCTTAAATAAAACAAACGAAACACGTGACAATGGCATCTCATTCGTGATTTCGCCGCTGGTGTTGCTTTTGCGCGATCGATCAGACACGGCGACACTGCTGGTGCTGACCATTAGAACACTGGGAACCTCGCCAATGGATAGCTCTGAGCTGCTTTCATATGCGCTGGAGGTTTCCGAGCTCAGCTTATCCCCACTGACGCCAGAGTCCATCGATGCGATTGATGGCGGAGTGACATCTCTCACGGCGGCAGCCGGGTGTTGCTGCTGTGTTCGTGTCCTCGGGGCTGGTGTTGTCCATCGACGCGTGGAGAATACTCGACGTACATCTGAGGCTGCTGATTGAAAGGGTTGGCCGGGGCTTTGTCTGGGAGTTTCTCAGGCTATTGATTTTCGACGGCTCATTTCATGCACATACTGCTCATACACTTACTCGCAGAACGATGATTTACAATGTTCTCTAATGGGGAATACTTATGGGGGCAAACTTAAATTTTGTAGGTAAGCGTAAGTAAATGCGGCCATCCTAAAAGTAATATTTTGTTTCCGTTTTTAATGTAAGCTTTTTGAGGCTTTTAGCGGTCTGACAGGAGGGGAGCACCTGGGTATGGTAAGAAAGCAAAACTTGCTCTTTAATGCACAATTTTTAAGATCTCTGACCCTATCTGACCCACAAACTGGACGAGGAGTGTTTCTCAAGTGTATTTGGCAGTAAACACAGCACACACACACTTTCCAAGTCAATGGAAATGTGCAGGGATCGCTATGGTCCTAAAGCCAAACAAAATAGAAACGGAATTTACATCATACCGTCCCATTGTCCCATGTCTGTTGACAATATTCTCGAAAGTGTTTGAAAAAATACTATTGAAGAGAATGCCTGAATACCAATTCGGATTCAGGAGGGGTCACGGGACCCCTGAGCAATGTCACAGGGTTATTAATGATATAGTTTCGGCATTTGAAAACAAAAAATACTGCACTGCTGCATTTCTTGATGTTCAACAAGCGTTCGATCGAGTCTGGCACAAAGGTTTGTTGTACAAGATAAAGAAATGGCTACCTACTCCGTACTATGTATCAATCAAATCATATGTGGCTAAAAGATGATTTTACGTGCATCAGAAAACCGATACTTCATCACTACTTCTCATCAACGCAGGCGTCCCACAAGGAAGCGTATTGGGACCAATTCTCTACACCCTATATACGGCCGACATGCCAGTTACAAACAACTGCACTGTTGCAACATATGCTGATGATACAGCCGTTTTAGCCACAAGCACATCTATAAATGAAGCTTCCGAACTCCTGCAGAGTGAGCTAAGCCTAATTGAAGACTGGTTTCTTCGATGGAAAATTAGAATCAATTCCCTGAAATCCGTCCAAATAACGTTTTCATTAAGACCAGGTAACTGCCCAAATGTTACACTTAACGGCTCACCAATTCCACAAAGTACCTTTGTGAAGTATTTCGGCTTGCATCTCGACCGCAGATTAACATGGAAAAATACTAAAGCCTGTTTGGACCTACGCTATACAGCTCTGGGGGACTGCTAGCAACTCAAATATTGAGATACTTCAGCGTTACCAATCAAAATCTAATTACGTATCTAATTTAAATATCCACAAAGATCTTAATATTCCAACCATTAAAGAAGAAAAAAAGAAAACTAGTAGGAAATACATCGACAGACTCCACAACCATGAAATTAATTGTCTATTAGACAATAGCTTAACAGTAAGAAGACTGAAAGTATACCACATTCTCGATCTCCCCGATAGATAAATCCATCAAACTGAAAAGATGTTATATATAATAGCAGGGCTCATTGGAAAACTGCTATTTCTGTTAATTTAATATTAATTATACAATTTACTTATTTTTTAAACAAACAGATTGTAAATATAATGAGAGAGAGAAAAAAAAAATATATTCGTTAGACAAACATTCCTATACCTGAATGGGGTGTACATAAGGAATGTGGGACTCTTACATTTGTGAAATGTGTAGAAGATTTATCAAATTTAAATGCCAATTAAAGGGGTATGAACAATTGAAATTATGTTGGTTCTATGGTAGTCAAGAATGTGGCTGAAAAGCATGGAAATCTAGCAAAAATAAAACACTATAAATCTAAACAGAACAGATAATTATCTGCAGTCCGTAATATCTGCTTGGTATCTTTTGTTTAAACTTTTTTTGGGGAGGAAACTGTAACAAATGAATGATTATACCCAGTTCTCGAAGAGTAATTAGGGTATATTGTATTTGTGCACAAAGTGAATGTATGTAACACCCAGAAGGAAACGTTTCTGACCCCATAAAGTATCTATATTCTTGATCAGCATCAATAGCCGGGTCGACTGAGCCATGTCTGTCCGTCCGTCTTGTTGAGCGCCTGGATCTCAGAGACCATAAAAGCTTGAGCCACCAAAAGTGGCTGTCACTGTCACACTGTCACAAGTTAATTTCAAAAATGAGCCACGCCCCCTTCCGCCCCGCAAAAGAGCAAAAACCTCCCAAATCTACAATTTTGAAGATAAAAGAATACCGAAACGCCATTCGGTAGGGAATGGCTCTATCTATCAGATCACCAAATTGGGATCCGATTGGATCATTATTATAGCCAGAATGAAGAAATTAATTTGCAGTGGCCAAACCCACCCTGTCCCGCAGCTTTTGTTGTTCTTTTCACATTCTCTCATTCACACTCTGCTTCTGCTTCACTCGGCCCCTGCCTCTGCCGTCGCCCTGCATCTGCCGACTTTTAACCCACCCCGTCCCGCAGTTTATATTTGTTTTTTTTTGTGTGCGGGCGCTGCCTCTGCCTCCTCCTCGAGTCTGCAGTGTGTGGGTGTGGGAAGGGCGGCGAGCTAAAGGACAGATGAAGAAAATATTTAAAATTTGACAAAACACCGCTAAGGTGCAGATGTAGTACTGAGTGCCGGGTGTAAAAGTTGTGACGCGTAAGAAGCGTCTCACACGTCCCTTCTCCTTTTCCTTCTCCTTTTTTGTTACGCGCGAAACCCAGCAGAACTAACTACGGGAGGGGTAGGCTAGTATAAGAGATTTAAGAAGAGGAAGGAAGTTAGTGAGGATATAATGTGATAGAGGGAATTATAATCCGAGCACAAAACCCTAAAGGTTTCGTGCAAGGCATAATTCGATCTGCACAGTGGAAGGAACAAAGGAATATAGTTTCTAGTGGGTCTAATGGGAATCGTGAAGTTTACGCGGCTCAACAAGTCAGGGCTGTCTACATCCCCCTTGATCAACTTGTGCATAAAAATTACACCAAGCATTTTTCTACGACTAACTAAGGATGGAAGATTTATTAAAAAAAGTCTACTACGGTAGGATGGCAGTCTCACAGTTGCATCACAGTTGAGGCCCCGTAGGGCAAATAATAAAAAGTTTTTCTGTACTGATTCACTGATATACTGATACTAACAAGCGAGATATAGAGAGTCTTCGTTATATAGGGGTCATCAAATTCCTTTGACCACCTCTTTTTAAACCCAAGCACACCCATGGCTTTATTTACCATGGTAGAAATGTGTTCAGAAAACTTTAACTTGGGGTCTAGTTTAACACCTAGATCATCAACCAATGTAATGCTCTTAAGAGAACTACCGCAGAGGATGTAAGGAGTCAGGAAGGGGCTGGAGCGATAACAAGTCATTACATTGCTTTTCGAGGCATTAAGTTGAAA